CCAGTAAGAAATTATCAAGGGACTGGAATGTTATTTACTTACATGGAAATATTCTTCCCATTGGCTACCTATCCAACACACGCACCATCTCTCTGAATTCTTATTCAACTGCTTCCATTCTTGTTTGATAAGTGAGTTAAAATGAAAAGCCATGCAAGGCTGCATGGTGATATTTTATTATGAACTTCCTTATCATCATGATAAATACTTTTATTCCAACTTTTTATTCATTAAAAAGATACTAAGTTAGAGTTATGCAAACACTGGTAAAATTGACAAATTTGAAAAATTGTTCTGGCTAACACCATCACACTGGAGAAAAATCTAAAGAACCCAACATTTAATTTGAAGATTTAAAATGTATAAATACTTCTTTTATTTGAACAGCATCCTGCTTAAACATTTACTTATTTAATTAAATAAATGAAACAGTATAAGAAATACATCTCAAATGAAGCTATATACTTCTGTCAAAATGATTTTTTTTTAATATCTTGATCAAAACTTTTATTTTGGTGAAGACCTGAAACACAACATTTTTTTTAATTACATGTTACTTAAGGAATGCTAATAACCTGCAGGAGATAAATCTTTGAACAACACATCCCACGCTGACTCATTAAGGTAAGTGCAATATAACAGATCTTCGTCACAGACTTTCTAAAACTTCCTCTTTGCTTACGCTAGTGCATTTCTGTGTTTAAGTTATTTTTTCCATAAAGAAGAACATTTGAGCAATAACAAGAGATCTGGAATTCATCCTTGCTTGGACATGAATCTCTAGGAGCCGCCAACATCCACATTTAGTCACAGACTCTGAATAGAAAACTGCAGCTGCATCAAAAATTTATATGATAAATAACATAGTCTTACGAAACTCATCACTTAAAAATGGGATCAAAATATTGGTTTGCAAATCCAACTCCTTTTTGTAAATCTAGTTTCTTATTTTCTGTTGTTTTTCATTGCCATCTTTAGCACTTTTTTCAGCAGTGGAGAGAGAGTCAAAATTGGGAGTCTATAAATTTGGTGGAAATAGTGAAATGAATAGGCACTGCTGTAGCTCCAGCTCTTAAACAACTTGGAACACGTCCACATAAGAAGTTGTAACATTATGCAAAAGGGTGATTTAACATATTATTCTTTGCAGTCTGCGTCTTCATTTCAACCTGTAGAAAGCATATAAAGATTCAGTAACATTTTACAGTTTGCACAGGATGTAATGGATCACAAATTAAAGGAATGTGAAGGATTAGTTTAAAAACATTTATGTAAGAGTCAAGACTTAAAAGGTTTTTGCTGTGTATACCTAATTAAAACATATCTGTCTATTGATGCTTTCAACTCAGGATACTTGCAGCACATTAGTTTATGTTTTAAGCTTTAAAGTCTATGTTGACTTTCCTGCAAAAAGTACACATTCTCTAGAGCTGAACAGGAATTTACAAATGCTAACTGGGCCTCTCTGATCAAAAAGATTAAACAAATATGTTGATGAAGGCAGAGGTAAGACTGTTTGCTCAATTATTACACACATTACGTGGTAGACAAATGGCAGAAATCCAAAAGATGTCCAGTGTTCTGGCTCTTGGTCCAACAGTTCAGCCATTAAAAAATCTTCCTCTTAACATAGCTGGAGCCTTTAATAACCTGAACAAATCACCTTTTTGGAACAGTATGATTTCACAGTTGGATTTGCTTTATTGAAATGGTTTGCAAATCAACATAGTTATCTGCTGTAAACTATTCATCTATTCTGGAACAGGAGAAAAGTTTTTTGGTGCGACCTTGTGATGTAAAATTCTTTGTTCAGCTTGGTTGGATTTCTTTACATATGCTATAGACAGTGGTTACTAAGGAGAGTTTAAACTCTGGTGCAGTTATTTACAATTCCTAACACATGACCTGGGTAACATCACAGTGCAGTAATAATCAAACCTTACTAACTACAGTTTACAAAGGCTGAAACAGCAAAATATGGAAGGAGCCAATAGGCTGGAAACCAACAATGTGCTGATGAAAGAATGGAGTGAAAGGATGATTCAATGGCTAAAGTACTGCTTGGGGATTTGGGAGACCTGAATGGAGATCCTGACTTCTCCACAGAAACCCTGCCTAAATAAGAGCAACCTTGTCCTGCCCACAACAAGCAGCAGCTGGTTGTGCTAACAGCTTTCAAGATCGTTAATTTTGCATTTCACGTGAAGCCAATAATCAACTTGAAAAACTAGACAGTGAAAAGATGAGAATTATTCCTGCCTGTACCTACTGCAGGCCAGAAATATCAACTGGCTGTTGATATCCTTGCCGTGGCAATGGTCCCCAGCCACCTCCATCGCACTGAATGCAAAGTCAACTGTTTGCGTGGCCAAAGTCTCAATAATGATGTGGCAGCCTCAGGTTAACAGGGAAGCTGGGAGCAGATGTGGGAGGGGGACAGGATAAAGAGGAATAAAAATGTGATGCAATTACAGTTTGACATGTCCAGCTCTGAGATCCTCAGGACAAAGTCTGCCCTCATTTTACTAAGAACCCTTCTCATATTTTGCCTTGTTTCTGTGAGAACAGGACAGACCCAAGCGTCTGAGTGTGACTGTAAACTGCCAGTAGGTAAGATGTAGCTTGGACGTTGCACTTCATTTCTTGGGGTTTTTTCTTACCCGCATAAATGGTACATGCGAATACTGTACAATGTATTGGAAAGTGGACAAGAACGTGAATTAGACAGTCCGTGAGCTGGCATTGTGCATTCTGCAGGGGCTTTCCATTGCTGCTGGTGTCTGTGTGCTTTGAGAGAAGAGCAAAGACTTTAGGCAGAGGGTCCATCCTGCAAACAGCGCCTATAGGCTCTTCTGTAGGTCCTCACAAAGAAAAGTGGTATCTGCTGTTTCATGGGACCCTGACCTACTAGCAGGCAGAGAAAAGCTACTGAAAAGATTTCAGTATCCTTAGCTGCCTTAATTCAGATTTTAACTTCCAAAGGGACTGAGGGTGGCCAGCACCACTTGGAAATGGGCCCTGAAAAGAAAGCTGACCCAAAGCTTTGAAGGTAGCTAAAATTCTGTGGTTTCATCTCACTTTCCTTTGGCACAACTGGAAGTGAAAGAAAGTACCTGCAACAGTTGCACTTCTGACTAGTCATTGCTGAGGAACAGGATACAGGCTAGAGAAGAAAATGCCAGCAAATCTCATTTCTTAAAGTAGTTTATTTTCCATCGTACATGCCTACTGCATAGCACAATAATGTGTCTATATATTTACATGATTTAAATTAATGTCATATTAATATAATAACATTTTTATATTTTACTTCTCAGTACCAAATACTCAAAAATCTCTTCCATTGCCTCCATAACCTCTGTATGGAGTTCCTTTTATTTAATGGTTGTGTGAACAGTATGCTCATGAACGAGACAGTATTGATAACACTGGCGATAGCAGAAAGCCTTGCAGAGTTTCATTATAGGTGTCTTGGACAATATAAAGAATGAACAATAAAAGTATTTATGACATAGGATTATACTAGATTATTACAGAAAACCTATGGAAATTGTCTATAAATCATCTACAGTGATCTAAATCTCATGGTTTTTATAGCACATCCACACACTTCTAAAGCATTTTTGGGTTTAATTATTTGAAAGTTTAATACAAATTTCCCATCTTAAATGGAACTTTTTTGCTCCATTCTAGCTCTGATGAATAAAGACCATGCAGTCACCGTCTGAGTTTACTTATGTCACCAAACTCCCATTTCCTTTGGTGGTTTTAAGGCTGTAACCTTAAGTGCTTTGAAAAGAACAAAGGCTCTGTTAGTTTCAGAAGATTTCTGATCATTTTCAACTCAGTTTTCAATCAAGGTTCCTAGAAGTAAAAGTGCATACTGACAATTCAGTACACTATGAGTTTATCATCTGTGTAAACTCAGTTTAGATCATAAATCCAGTCCAATTGGGGAAAAGCTATCTTGTATTAAAATCACTCAGATTAACTCTACAAATAAGATCTGGGTATTATTAGAGTCTGAAAAGGCCATTCTTGAATACTCCAAACTTTCAAGACTCCTATTAGCTTCAGTTAAATTTCTAAGGCAGTTAGGTGATGCTCTCCTTCATATTTTCAGTTTCTTCTACATGTGAGATTACACAAGTTGTGCTGAGCTTTTATATTTCCATTAAATAGCATTACAAATATTAATTATGCTTTATGACTATTAAAAATGAAGTCTCTGAGCTGAAGTGTAGCTATGAATGTAACTCAAAAGGATTAAGCGAATGCTTTTACCCCAATGCAGAAGGGGTAAAGAATCTCCTGCTACAAAGAAAACGCAGTTAACTTCATGCAGCTGGCTGCAGCTTTCCTTCCACTACCGCTTTATCTTTTTTGAGCTACTTTCTGTACATACAAGCTGATGTAAACCTGTAACTAGCAGGGGCAGAGAAGTTGCAAAAAGGCACAGCTTGTCAATCAAACAATCAAAATAGATTTGGATGAATGAACAGAGAAAGTAAAAGCCCAGAAGATGGCCACACCTGAAAATCCATTTGAATAATAGTCCTACAGGATTCATTTACCAGAACTTAATCAAATACAAGTCCCTTCTGTCAAAATCTAGTCTAAGAAACCGTATGGGTACCATAAGTAGTTGCACAATCCTGACAATAGCTTCTATACTGGGGTTCTATTCAGAGAACTGTATGTACATGTATGCTTACCTTAGAAATGTGAACATTTCAAATGACACATGCATCAAATATTATTCAGCCGTGAAAATCTAAGTATGCTACAAAGTAGGATTCAATCATGAAAAATACGCAATAACAAAAATTACGCAAAAATATGCAAAACCGGGTCTCTGTATGGAGCTTCCATTAAGGTCAAACCGTTCGTTTCCCCCATATGATGAATACTACCACTTTTATTCTGTGGATTGGTAGCAGATGGATATTAGTGGAGACTGATATGTTAGAAGGCTTTTTTCCTGTAATGAACAAATCGTGCTATCGTGGTAATGGGAAAACAGACTTTTTCCTTGGGTATTCACTTGAAATGGAAGTTCTTAAAGTGTCCAGGGAGTTTTCCATTTGCACAGACTGTGATTTTCTACACCTCTTTGGGAACAAGTCCTTGTAGAATTCCACAGCCTTCTTCTGGAAGTGCTTCCCAACAATTACATATAGGACTGGGTTCAGGCAGCTGTTGCTAAAGGCACAGTATATAGCTATTTGGGTCAATATGTCATTGATTTCTTCCAGGCATATTAAAGTGGGTGTGAGGTAATGGATTGTGTCGATGAACGTGCTGATCTGGAATGGAAGCCAGCAAATGATGAACAGCAAGAGCACAGCAAGGACCAGCATGGTGGCTCTCCTTTCTGTCTGGACTAACTTCATTTTTTGTAGCTCACTACTTCGTAAGGCTTTGATGATTTGTATACTGCAGTAGGTAATTACACAGAGTGGGATCACAAAGCCCACAATATTCAGCAAACAGTTGTTTGCAGGCTCCCAGTAGCTGGCTGGGTAAACAAGAGCACAGGCTGTGATGTTGTATACTTTGTAATAATGTAAATTTCGGAACACCATTGCAGGTGAACATATGAGCAACGCACATGTCCAGACGACAAAGCTATTCCATTTGGCACAGACAGTTCGTCGCATCCGTCCAAGAGACATGGTTTTCACCAAGGCCAGATAGCGGTCGATGCTCACTAGTGTCAGGAAATAAATGCTAGAATAAAAGTTCATGTTACTCATTATGTTGACAGCTTTACAGAGGAACAGGCCAAAAGGCCATTGAAATTTATTAGAAATATTAATGGCCCAGAAAGGTAAAGCACAGACTAACATTAGGTCAGCAAATGCCATGTTTGCTAGGTAAATTTCGGCCACTGTGCAGCGACTCTTGTGGAAACACAGGACGATGAGGACAAAGGAATTTTCTATTGCTCCCAGAATAAATATAAACCAGAGGAATCCAGGCTGAAAATCCCGTAGCCATTTCCATACATCTGGATTAATACATTTGTATTGAATCAGCTGATGCACTTCTGAATTATTGTGGAAATTTGGTGCACTGACTGTGAGCTCCTGGGTGGCTGGGATGTTGTAAGGTTGTGTAACGTTTTCAGTTGTGATGGAAACCATTTCTGTGCAGAGAAAAAGAAAAAGGTGACATGAGATTACTACATCTAGCTGATTGCTGCAAGAGACACAATAAGAAAAGCTGGCTCTGCTTTTCTTACTGTCCTAAAAGGCATGGCTTTGAATGGGCTACAATTCTCTGCATTGCTGTCTCGTAGATACCCTGCATGCTTGCAGAGAGTTTCACAGACTAAACTGCTATGGACTGTGTGGACCAATTTTAAGTGGGTGAAACCGAGGGGACAAAGTAACAGCAGACATTGTAACCAACAGGTTAACTGAAAAGAACTTTTACCAGCCTTTATTCACTAGAACCAAGCTGCAGCAAGTCTTTTTTATTCTTTGAGGAGGTTCATCGTTACTTTCTCTTCTTATCTTTGTGTATCAATAGCCATAGTTTCCGAAAGGACAGATGTACCTTGTGAGTCTTGTGTTGCTCATCGTTAAGCTGCTAGTTCTGTGGCATGTCCCTCAACATTTTACACCCTCTCCAGTAAAGCAACAATTGGGTGGAATTCAGTGGTGCTTCCTCCCCAAACACTACCATATTGTTTTCGCAAATGTTATGACTGTCACAGCAGACATATAGTTTGCAGCTCTAGTTTGCACTGAGAAAGCTACAGGAGCAAAAATCAGTGTTCGCAAGCAGTGTGCCTTTCTCAACTTCTCACTGGAATCAGTTGTGTTTTTCTGCCTCTGTGTTACAATCTCTTTCTGCAAGCAAGTCACAGAAGAGACAAATGGTACAACCTTTGTGAGGGAACTTGGTTCTAATAGGTCTGCAGTGGGTGGGTTGGCAGTTTGGCAAAGATGGTGGCCATCATGTAAGCCAGGACCTGCCTGCAGTCAGGCTGCAGTGAGCCAGTTTGGGTGCAAGAGCACAGTCTGAAAACCAGGTGCTGTACTGTAAATATTCTATGGGCCAGAACAGATTGGGGTCTTACAGGGAGGTATTTATGGGCATAAATGTCAGATATGTGCTTAAATGTTACTAAAACCAAACAGAAGTTGAGCATGCAGCATCCACTCAGTACTGTTAAAATGTTAACTGGTTTTTATTGTTGTGCTCTCAGATAATGAATGCTGAGATATTATTCAAATGCAAGACTGGCCTCCCAGATCTGTATATATTTCTCTGGAGTGGGTGACAGAAATACTGTTCGTCTTTTTCCAGGTCTTTAAAATACCACTGTTTATATTATGGTTTGATTGGAAGATTTTCAGATGTATTTTTAATTAAGATATTTGTCTGATTCAGCTGGTAACTTGGCAGTAGAAAGGGGACACATCTGTAATTCCTGAAAGGATGGGGTTCTCATTCGTGCTCTGGTTACTGAATTTGTTGGTTGATAAGTGTTAGTGCTCGATACGCATATAGACATTTAGCTCTTGGAAGCAGTATTACTGAAAAATGGTGGTCATATTTTGTGTACCTAGTTCTAATTAAGCACTGTAGTTCTTGAGAACCAAAAGAAAAGATAAAGACCATATTTTAGTGGGTACAGTAAAGGTAGTAATGAAGGAGACTCTCTCTATACTGTAAAATTTATAACAGGGGTGTCAGGCAGGACAGGACAACTGAACAAATCAGGCAAGTGGGACTAAGAACTTTGAAAGACAAGGTAACCTAAACCAGATTAATCAGCACAAAACAAAATGCCAGCAACATACATTTCCAATCCTTCATAACATGAGCAAAGGACAGCATTTGCATAAACTGGATAACAACATAAATATTCTCATTCTCCAAGTTCATCCTTCCAAAACTTCAATTTTTCAAGCCCACATCTAACTGCAGGAACATTTCTCTATCCTCTGTCCTGCCTCTTCATTAACCTTGTCATTGTTAGAACCACCTCAATATTGAGACACCTGTATCCTTTTGATTTCTGATTGTTTTCAACCAGCATCTGGAGAATGGGTTGGTGGACCCTCTTTATTACACAGCATTACATGTTGTAGACACCTGTTCAGTAACCTGTGCTTTTGGTGACACTGGTTATCTGGAGCTTTTAGGTCTAGTGGATATGGATTTATTTGTCCTATACTGAAAGCAAACGCCATCTGCAGTGGATGCTACACAACATTGCAAATATTCTGATTTATGTCCTCTTTTCATCTTGCAGGTGCAAGCAACTACTTTAGGTTGTAAATGCTTTGGTTAGAAATCTTATTTTTATTTGAGCCCTTCCAGGCATAGCAGAGCACCTGCACCTATAGTGCATTTTTCTGTTACTTTATTTGTTCATATTTCAGCATGATGAAATACAGGACAATACCAAAAGCCTCACTGAAACCCAGAAATGCTTGATCTATTGCTTCTGCTTTATCCATTAGGCCAGACTGGATTAGTCTGACACAACTTTATTCTTGACAAGTTTATATTGGCAGTTCCTTATCACATGGTTATTCTTTATTATCCTCCATATGTGGATATACTGATTATTTAAGATGTTGCTGCCATGTATTCCATGTATTTAAATGTGAATGACATTTGTAAATTTGTAATTTCCTGAGTCCTGCTATCTATGTCTTTTAAAGATAGGTACTGTGTTTTGCCCTCTTTGGGATTCTAAAATGTCCCTATTCTCCTTGGTTTCACAGACATAAAAACTGATAGCAAGGATTTCCTCTCCTAATTCCTGAACCATGCCAGGATGGGTTATATACGATCCTACCACTTTGCATAACTCCATATATTCTTTAATTTGTTCTTTCCCGATTCATATAGATCCAATTGTACAAATCAATCATTTTAAATATCAGATCACAATCTTCATTTCTGAGAGGACTAACACAGAGTCGTCATTGAACTTTTCATCATTCTCTGAGTTACTAGTTGAATTTTCCTTTTGGTAAGAGACCTAGACTTTCCTCCATTATCCTTTCACACTTGATGTATTTATAGAAACATAAAATGTTACCTCCTATGTCCCCTATTAACTGCAACTCATTTTTGTCTTGAAGTTTTTGATATCTTCGATGTTCTGAGTTCTTAAATAATACCTCAGATAGCCATACTTTTCTCTAATTAATCTCCCATAGCAAAGCCTGGCATCAAAGTGCTGGTAGTCATAAACACTTAAATGTCTCAAAGCCGAGCTTTAGTGGTTGTGAGAGATGTCACTAACAAATTGCAAACTGCAGTTTCAAGTCTCCCTTTCTGTGTATGCTGGCACTTTACACTGTAAAAACACATAGGAAGCAAAACACTAATGGATAATCAACAAAAGGTCATTTGAGAACAGAGAGGTTCTGTTGGGTGATGCAATTAGCAGAAGCTGTTTCTTCTGCTGGTAGCAGGCTGTGAACCAGCAGAAAGAATTGTAAGTGCGTGCATTATTTTCTGCTTTGAGGTTGGATGTATTCACATATTTAATAAGATGTTCATTAGTAATTCAGAGAGTGGTCATAAAGGTTACGTTGGCAATTTCTATGCCTTTCCCTCATCATATGACTAATAGCAAAACAATAAATGGGAATTAATTTACAGCAAATAGCAGCTCAAAACCTGCCTGATTTATGATATTCCTATATATATATTATTCCTATATATATTATGATATTCCTATATATGATATTCCTATATATATATATTCCTACAATTAATCTCTTTTAATTTTTTTTTTAAGAAGGGAATCCCTAGAACACACTAATGTTGTGACACCAATTCAATATCCGTTGCAGAAGTCTGATGTCATGTGAAATGGCAGGTCTGATGTTATCAAACAGTACAATGCATCTATCAAGTGGCAGACAATACCTTGAGCCCAGTGAATAGCTAAGGTAACCTGTATCCAGTGATAAAGAAATAAAATGCTAGTGATTTTGTCAACAGTAGCTTGGGCACCTAGATTATATCTCTTTGTTAAAGTAATAATTTCCTGCTCTAGAAAACAACCTTTCCTGAAACCCAGATAGATTAAAACTACTGCAAGTACCATGCCAAAACCAGCTAAGTTGGAAAAGAAATAGGTGAATTTTCAACTGGCTGATGACAGTTTTTGAGAGGTGGGCTGGAGAAACTGTTCCTAGGGCAGGTTCTCAGAACCGGTCTTGGAGTTCAACTAATTAAGTAGTTACAGGGTTGATCTCAGCCTGAAAGATAGAAGAGCACTGACGAGGCGTGAGTGACATAAATTGCTTGATATCTTCATTATAGAGAACAATGGGAATATCCTGCAGAAACCACTGGACAATATCAATAGAGCAACAGAGGTGGAATAATAAGAAGAAAAACTGTAAGTCCTGAAGCACTTCTTTTCCCCAAGAAGATGTAGTAACTGATGCTCCTTGCTGCAGTGAAGGCATAGAAGAGCTGTTCAGCAGTGCACAAACCTCCACTTAAGGCTTTCTCACTGATATGCACGTGGATGTCCTTTAAAGGTTTGCGGTTTGTTGCATTACTCCTACCAGACCTCTTCAGCTCAGTTTAGCCACTCCTTTCTCTTAGTAATTGAAATACTGCTCTTTTCCCTGGATAGCAGCTCTAAGTTCTCATGACTAGGCAAAATGTAAAGGTCTAATGACAGATAGTATTTGTCAATATTGCTCCCTTTCTGCACTAAATACTTAATGGTGAGATTTGCTTTTCAGATGAACTGGCTCTGTGCTCTGAAAGCACTTTGCTTCTAGCACCTTGAGAACATTGTAGCAGCCATTTAGAAAAAAGGCAGAGATTTGCCATCTCCAGTGCCTCCAATCACTATCATGTGTACACTGTTGTCAGGGGTATTTGCAATAACGTAGCATTTCCTGCACATTTTCACCACTGGCTTTCACAAGTATGGCCTTTGAGAAAAGCCTGACTGTCTCCAATAGCAAAGATTGGAACCTCGTAGTATGTGTGGCTTACTGGTCGCTATCCCAAAGCCTAATAACTATTTCTTTGACAGCTGCTGCTTTCCTCATTTCTTATCATACAGGTAACTGATTGTTTTACTCTGGAGTTGATTAAGTCTCTGTTGCATTTTTCAAAAACATAAAAGATGTTCCAAACTGTT